AAGACCCCATGTTTTGGTACCACAGAAGACCCCATGTTTTGGTACGACAGAAGACCCAATGTTTCGGTACGACAGAAGACCCCATGTTTTGGTACGACAGAAGACCCCCTGTTATGGTACGACAGAAGACCCCCATGTTTTGGTACGACAGAAGAACCCCTGTTTCAGTACGACAGAAGACCCCAATGATTTGGTACGCTTTTGAAATTTGAAATAAAATGGAAAAATAGTTATCTTGTGATTCTGGTAAGGCTAAAACGGAAGGCGAGGTTGGGGGGGTGGGGGTGGGGGGGAATACTGAGAAGCAGTAAACGCACCAGGCAGACTGGGACAGGGGAAACCTACGTCAAATGAAAGACACACACAAGAGAGAGGGAGGGAGCGTGAGAGGGATGGAGGTAGGGACGGGGAGAGAGAGAGAGAGAGAGAGGGAGAGAGAGAGAGAGATTTGATTGACCGAGTAAGATTCGTCGAGATTGGTGTCCATTTGATTCCGAGGTCCTAGAGTCCTAGAGCAATAACAAGAAAGGGGGGAGGGGGGGGGAGGAGAGTGTTGAAAGATTCGTCGAGATTGGTGTCCATTTGATTCCGAGGTCCTAGAGTCCTAGAGCAATAACAAGAAAGGGGGGAGGGGGGGGGAGGAGAGTGTTGGCGGCGATTGTGGAATAACGTCCGGAATATTCAGAGCGAGAAGTTGATAGTTGGCACGGGCGTCACGATTATATAGATGGGGGGTGGGTGGTGGGGCGTAATAGAAAGGAATAGGCGAAGACAGAGATCGCCAGAAATGATAAGTGTCGAAGAAGACAGTGGGATTAAGATGGTAGACAGAGATCAATGTGTTGAGTATCATCATTAGAGACACACCAAAGTTGTAGACTCCGCCTTGTCGTCACTCCGTATGCTTCGTGCCCCCCCCCCACTTACTATTCTGCATTCAGCCCCTACCCCCCACCCCCCACCCCAACCAACCACTTTATTTAACGACAATATTTCCCAGAACCGCGATCCATCGACACAATTATCATACGACTATCAATTATCATACGACTATCAATTATGATACGACTATCAATTATTATACGACTATCAATTATTCTACAGTAACTGGGATGTTCTTATGCGCGTACCCTCTCCTCCCGGGAACCCCTATTCGAAGACTCTCCCATCCTTCGGGGGGGGAACTCTCCCATCCTTCAGAGGGGAACTCTCCCATCCTTCAGAGGGGAACTCTCCCATCCTTCAGAGGGGAACTCTCCCATCCTTCAGAGGGGAACTCTCCCATCCTTCAAGGGGGAACTCTCCCATCATTCAGAGGGGAACTCTCCCATCCTTCAGAGGGGAATTCTCCAATCCTTCAGAGGGGAACTCTCTCATCCTTCTGAGGGGCATCCTCCCATCCTTCAGAGGGGAACTCTCCCATCCCTCCGGGTGAACTCTCCCATCCTTCAGGGGGAACTCTCCCATCCTTCAGGGGGGAACTCTCCCATCCTTCAGGGGGGAAATTTCCGATCTTTCAGGGGGGAACTGTCCCACCCTTAATTGGGGAGATGCCTCGAAGCAGGACCCACACCGACCCTCATCGACCCTCATTGACCCACATCGACCCACACCGACAAACACCGACCCTCATCGATCCACATCGATCCACACCAACCCACATCGACCCACATCGACCCACATCGACCCACATCGACCCATATCAACCCACATCGACCCACACCGACCCTCATCGACCCACACCGACCCACATCGACCCACACCGACCCACATCGACCCACACCGACCCACATCGACCCACATCGACCCACATCGACCCATATCGACCCACATCGACCCACATTCAACTGCACATTCAACCGCACGCATCAATCAGTATCTATTGAAAAGTGATAATTCTAAATCAATTAATATCGAACTTATTGATTAGACAGTGTATCTCAATCATCGGAAAACGGTTTGTTTTGCAAATCGTGATGTGGGACCTCTATGTGGGTCCTCTATGCGGGTCCTATATGTGCGTCTTCCGTGTGTCCTCTATGTGAGTCCTCTATTTGAGTCCTCTACTATTCCCCCCCCCCCTTTCTCCCTCTGAGCGTGACGTAATTTGCGAACGACCACTTAGACGACTGTAAAGAAATCAAACTTAACAACGATTTCTTATGAACTACGTCACGATAATCTGACCTCGATTTTTAAAACCGTTTTATTTTTTTTCCTTCTGCTTTCGGCGATTTCGGTAATTTGGCTTTTGTGGCCCGGTACCGGATGCTTAAAACGGATTCG